CTCCCTTCTCCGGGGGGGAGTGCGGGAAGATCCCTTGCAGGGTCGTGCTGAGGATTTTGTACAGTTCCTGCATGATAAAGTCGCTCGGATTCAGGATGGCTTGGACTCCGACTGGATGAGTCCGCAGGAGGAGACGAGGGCAGGTCTTGAGAATGTTATCTGGGACGAGTTTGATCCTGTGACTCCCGAGGATGTGGACAGGGTTCTGGGTAAGATTAGTGCCGCCACGTGTTTATTGGACCCGTGTCCCTCCTGGTTGGTGCTGGCCTCCCGGGAGGTTACACGAGGCTGGCTCCAGGGGATTATAAGTGCTTCTTTGAGTGAGGGTGCCTTTCCTGCCACCTTGAAAGAGGCGGTAGTGAGGCCCCTCCTCAAGAAGCCTTCCCTGGACCCGGCTGAATTAGCTAACTATCGTCCAGTCTCCAACCTTCATTTTGTGGCGAAGGTTGTTGAGAGCGTGGTGGCACGACAACTTCCCCGGCACCTGGATGAAGCTATCTATCTGGACCCGTACCAGTCGGGCTTCAGGCAGGGGTACAGCACAGAAACGGCATTGGTCGCGTTGGTGGATGATCTCTGGAGGGCTCGGGACAGGGGTTGCTCCTCTGTCCTAGTCCTATTAGACCTCTCAGCGGCTTTTGATACCATCGACCATGGTATCATGCTGCAGCGGTTGAGGGGGTTAGGAATAGGGGGCACCGTTCTGCGGTGGTTCTCCTCCTTCCTCTCCGACCGCTCGCAGTTTGTGTTGGCAGGGGGACAGAGGTCGACCTCGAGGCATCTCGCATGGGGAGTGCCGCAAGGGTAGGTCCTCTCGCCTCTCCTGTTCAACATTTATGTGAAGCCGCTGGGTGAGATCATCCGTGGTTTTGGGGTGAAGTGTCATCTGTACGCTGACGATACTCAGCTGTACATCTCCACCCCAGACCACCCCAACGATGCCCTTGATGTGATGTCCCGCTGCCTGGAGGCCGTGCGGGCCTGGATGGGGAGGAACAGGCTCAGACTCAACCCCTCCAAGACCGAGTGGCTGTGGCTTCCGGCGCCCCGATATAGTCAGCAGGTGCCATCGCTGACTATTGGGGGTGAATCCTTGCCCCCCACAGAGAGGGCTCGTAATCTGGGTGTCCTCCTGGACGCACGGCTGTCTTTAGAAGAGCACATGACGGCTGTGGCCAGGGGGGCCTTTTATCAGGTTCGCCTGATTCGCCAGTTGTAGCCCTTTCTGGATCGGGATGCCTTGCGCACGGTCACTCACGCCCTTGTCACCTCCCGGTTGGACTATTGTAATGCTCTCTACATGGGGCTCCCCTTGAAGAGCACTCGGAGGCTCCAACTGGTCCAGAATGCGGCCGCGCGGGTGGTTATGGGTGCAACTCGTTGCGCCCACGTGACACCCCTCCTGCGCGAGCTGCACTGGCTCCCAGTGGTCTTCCGGGTGCGATTCAAGGTGTTGGTTACCACCTTTAAAGCGCTCCATGGCATAGGACCCGGGTACCTTCGAGACCGACTTCTGCCACCAATAGCCTCCCACCGACCAGTCCGCTCCCACAGAGATGGTCTCCTCAGGGTGCCATCGGCCAAGTTATGTCGGCTGGCGACACCCAGGGGGAGGGCCTTCTCTGTGGGAGCCCCAGCCCTGTGGAATGAACTGCCCCCGGAAATACGTAAGATCTCCGACCTCCGGGTGTTTCGCTGCGCTCTGAAGACCTTGTTGTTCCGCCAGGCCGGGCTATTAACATAACGTTTTAAATTGGGGTATTTTAAATTTCTGGGATTTTAATTGGAGCCTAATTATTTAATGATTTTAAATTTTAACTGTTGTTTTGTTTCTGTGTTTTTAAATAGGCTGTACACCGCCCTGAGTCCTTCGGGAGAAGGGCGGTATAGAAATAAAATTATTATTATTATTATTATTATTATTATTATTATTATTATTATTATTATTATTATTAGCCTTCTCTAACGCATGAAAGCCAGCAGGATGACTTTGGGCCAGGTTTTTTTTGTTTTTTTTAATTTGATTTATATGCCGCCCTTCTCCGGAGACTTGGGGCGCCTTACAATGCGCTAAGCAATAGCCTTCATTCTTTTGTATATTTATATAAAGTCAGCTTATTGCCCCCACAACTGGGTCCTTAATTTGCTCTCAGTTCAACCCATTCCCAAGATGTTGGAGCCTCTGATGCCATAACAATAACTTAACTGACCAGTTAAAACCATAGAAAAATGCCTGCTCTATGCCTCCTCTCTCTTAATGTTTAGACTATTTCAGTGGGTTTATAAAGATCTCATAATTTTAAATGCTACTTATCGTCTAACTTGAACTCACAGAAATAAATTCCAATTACTTATTTAGGATTTATAGAGAACTAAGCTCTATTAAGATAAATATGAGTTTAACTTTGTTTTCCAGATTCTACGACATAAATATTGGAAATATTCAGGAATAAAGAAAGCCCTAATCAAGTATTTCACATTTTTCTAGGTACTTTAAAATACTGGGGTAGCCAATGCAATTGTCTTTGGTTTGTGTCTGTGTCTGTGTGGTGATTCTTTATTATGGTCAATGAGCAATCTATAAAATATATTGCATAAAGTACAGTAATATTAATTCATTAGCCAAGCACGTTACATGACATTTAGCCACATTTAAAGAAATAGTCATTGAGTCTGAAAATAACTCTTTAAAAAAATCAGTGATCAAAATGACCATGGAATTTGGTTATGTGAAGATAAGAGCAAATATCACCATGAAATCAACAGAATAAGACGTTTGATGATTTTAATTACTTCTCTCCATAGATTATCTACATTTGAATGTATCTCCCCTCTAAAAGAGCTGATGGGAACACACAAAATAGAGCCTCCTTAATCTGGGGACAAAATTGTAGAAAGCAAAGGTGATCTGGATGGAGTTATACCAGTTCCATTGTCAAGATGACAAAACATATTTTAAGTCTGCCACATCAGATATTTGGAAAGGGCTCAGACCAACAACTCTCTAAATTCATTGAACTGTATGAGTTACAAGATTCTGCTATCATAACTACTCAATAAAAGTAGTTTTAGCTTTCCTGGAAAACTGATTTCTTGGTCTGTTCCTCCTTGTGCGGTTAGTCTGAAAGAAGAGCAAAAGCTACTTTGAAGTGCATCTGCAGAGAGAAATACTGATGTCCTTAAAGCATTGGTTGATTATAGGTAGTCCTTGATTTACAAGAGTTTAGTGACTGTTCAAAATTACAGCAGCACTGGAAAAAACGGACATGACCATCTTTCACACTTACCTTTGCAGCATCCCCATGGTGATGTGATTTACATACAAATGTTTGACAACTGGTTCATGTTTTTGATAGCTGCAGTGTCCCAAGGTCATGTGATCATCTTTTGTGATCTTCTGACAAGGAAAGTCAATGGGAAAGCCAGGTTCGCTTAACAACCATGTTACTAATTTAGGAACTGCAGTGATTCACTTAGCAAAGGTGGCAAGAAAAGTCGTAAAATGGGGCAAAACTCACTTAACAAATTTCTCACTTAGCAATATAAATTCTGGGCTCAATTGTGGTCGTACATTGAGGACTACCTGTTCTGTATGTTCTTACCCTACCATAAGCACTTGAATTAAAAAGTTAAGTATTCCATTTTTTTCACATATTGTCTTGGTCCATGAGAAGACAAAATTATCAGAAAGTACCTAGGAAGTTAGACTTGCTAAAGAAAAGAGTTTAACCTGATATGTGAAAATGTGTACGAAGGCCTTGAATTTGCCTTCGTTGATTCCAGCATTGTGACGTAGGATCACATCTGAGATGCATTATGGGACTTGAATTATGGTCCTAAATTTGAATTCTTTCCAAAGGGGCAAAAGAAAAATATGGATTCAAGTAAGAACCAAATAATAATTGTGTCCACACTTGAGTTGAATGTATTTGTAGTGCAGGTGGAATAAACAGTGCCCTTTTAGTGTAGAATAATATTTGCAGGGCTGAAGCAGGTCTTTGACATTTCAAATAGCATATTCCATATGCACCCTACTTGTGGCTGGGGTATGAAATACGGTATTGAGATACTTTTTTGTCTAATATCCAAGAAACTAATTAATGGACTACTGCAATGCCCTCTACATGGGGCTGCCCTTGGGGTGTACCCGGAGGCTCCAGGTAGTCCAGAATGCGGCCGCGCGGGTTGTTATGGGAGCTTCCCGTTTTTCCCGTGTTACACCTCTCCTGCGCGAGCTGCACTGGTTACCGGTGGTCCTCCAGATCTGCTTCAAGGTGCTGGTACTTACCTATAAAGCCCTACGTGGGATGGGCCCGGGGTACTTGCAGGACCACCTTCTGCCTGCCTCCCACTGCCCTGTGCGCTCACATAGGACTGCCTTCCTCCGGGTGCCATCAGCCAATGTCAACTGGTGGCGCCCAGGATGAGGGTGTTCTCTGTGGGCACACCGACCCTCTGGAATTGGTTACCCACGGGGCTCCTGATGGCCCCCGACCTCCGCTCTTTCCGCCGTGACCTGAAGACATGGCTTTTTCAACAAATTTGCTGATCTGATGAGTGGTTTTTAATTGGGAGATTTTAATTGATTACTTTAGTAGTTTTTATTGTTTTGTTTTAATTTTTGTGAGCCGCTCCGAGTCCTTTGGGAGAAGGGTGGCATATAAATATAATTAAAATAAATAAATAAAATAAATAATCATCTCCTGAGAAATTAGAATGGTAATATGTTATTTTTTTACTGTGCTTAAAAACTGAAACGTAAACTCTGGATTCAGCAATACTTATTCAGAATGCTGTAAAAGCATGCATATGCCAGGGGTATATGGAGTGGAGTAGAGTGGGGTGGAATGGAGGAAGGAAGGAAGGAAGGTGTTTCTTTCTTTGTTTTTAAATTTATTTGCCACCCATCTCTCAAGGAAGGAACCACGTAGCTGATTTCTAACTATCTGGTCTCTCAACTAAAAAGTGAGATATTCTTGATATAATATAGGTATAATAACTGAACACAAATCTCAAGTTTATTGTTTTTTCTAGTGTGACAGGTTTTTTTCTGAAACAATATTTACATGCACATTTTCCAAAAGAAATATTGAAAAATCTAGATTATCAAAAGAATAAGCCACATTACTAGAACTGATTTTTTTTATCTTTATATATTTTTGTTTCTTTTCAAAGCCAACTTTAGAGTAACATTCTATCAAAATCAGTAATCCAATTGTTTTATTACATTTTAGCTGAAACATGTCATGTTGAGGAAAACAGGAGAACCATTTGCAGTTGTTCATGGTTATCGTTGTTCAATCTCATGAGTGAGAGAACTTAGTTTGATTTTACATAAAAGGCATTGTTTTCACCAATTATTTATCATTTAAACGTGAAAAAACAGAACTAGACTTGTAACAGATTTTTCATTCAACAGATGTTGAATGATAACGAAGCTTTTTTTTAACTTTAGAAGTAATTTGGTCAATATGCAGGAAGATGTTTATAAAATAATGCATGCAAGTACACATCCAATTCAATTCAAAATGTAGTGCTCTATTGCACGTGAAACATAACGAGCTCTGTCTTCCTCTTCAGAAGCATAGTCTAAAGGCAAGCCATAATTATAATCAATTGTTACAACTGGTAATCTTTTCCCCTGCCTCATTTCTCTCTTAATTTCATACTGATGTTCCCTTCCACTGTGCAATGAGATTGAACTCAGTTCCTGATGTGAAGATGAAGAGTGAAGGGTTGGGTAAGAAGAATATGGAGCAAATCTAGCTTTTCCTCCTCTGTTAATTACCTCCAAAGGATGGATTTTCCTGTAATCGTCAGGGCAATCAGATCTATAATATGAAAACAATTATTAATCAAATATTATAATGAGCAATTTGTAGCAATGAGACATACAAACATTGGTGTTACTTTATTGAAACAATAAATAGCTAATTCAAAGAAACATATCAGAATGTACATGATTTCATTGAACATTTGTTAGAGAAAGAATCTTTCAGAATAAATGTAGAAAATGCCTTTTTTTCAAATTATACTAATTACAGGTTCTATGTGATAGTCCTTTCTCATTGGCTTTCTAATATCAAGCTGTTTTACTGAAATATGTGATGGGACAGATTCAAGTATGGAAAGATTCCAATTTGCCCAGTATCCTCTCTCGAAGGATTCTTAATCTTTTTAATAACATGGGGCATGTTTCATGTACAGTATGTCTTGGAAAACATCCCTTAAATCAACTCACATAGAACTGTAGATTACAAGTAGTCCTCAACTTTCAATTAGTAACTCTTCCAAGATATGATGGACTCCCCAAAAGTTAGTTATAATCGGTTCTTAAATTCTGACAGCTGCCCCCCCATCACATGACTGCATTTGGGTGCCTGGCAACCAGCCTGCATTTATGGACATTTGTAGCGTCTCAATGTCACATGGCTACAATTTACAACTTTTTGCTTAAAAAAATGTTTAATTCCTACTTTTGGCAAAACTGGCCCATAGTGAACAATGGGTTGACTTAACGATCCCAGATTCACTTAACGACCAGGATTTGCTTAGTGACCTCTGCAAAAAAGTAATAAAACCGGGTCCGTCACATGGTACCCTGCTTTATGAGTCATGATTTACAATCATAATGGGCAGGCTCTATTACAGTCTTAAGTAGAGAACTCCTGTATGCAGTGTTTCAGAGCAAACCTATATACATTTTTTTCTCAGATTAGTACACATTGAATGAGAAGTACTACTTATGAATATGCCAATATGATAATGACTATATTGCTAGAATTTAAGTTATGGGGTTATGCATTTTTTGTGATCATACCTCTTTTAGGAATAAATATTGCTCTCTCAGATTAAATTAAGAATACATCAAAATGAAACTCAATAGTTAAATGTTAGCTAAAGTTTTCACCTAACCAGAAATAAGTCTTTCAAATGATGTATGTTCTTAAAAGACTGTCTTCTTGTTAAAGTTGAAACAGAAGAACTACATATAGTTTTATGATCATGCAATGTACATAATTTTTCAGGACTGGGCTACATTAGGCCTTTGAATAGCATACCTGGAGCCAATTTTAATTAGTGAACCAAAACAATAATATGTTTCGTATGAACTCCTGTGACAATCACAATTTTACCTGCAAGTTCCACTATAATTATCTTTATCAGAGCCATAATCTCTCTGAAGTAAGGGAGATTCTGCGTAGTACTCATGAGAAGGAAAACGATAGTTTCTGAAAGGAAAAGAATAAACCTTTTCAGCAGAATACTCAATAATCAATAAACTACCAAGGAAAAACCAATCACATCTCCATCACAGCGGCTGAGAAGCTACTCTATAAAAAGAGAGCATATCCCACATTCACTAGTTTTGATGATGTTACTTACTTGGGTAATGACAGTTCTGCAAGTAAACCACCAAGCTCAGACAAAACCAAGGACCCAAAAAGTCAATTATGTAATGAAGAAAAAATAGGTGTGATACTATACAGGTAATCCTCAATTTACGACCACAAATGAGTCCAAAATTTCTGTTGCTAAGTGAGACAGTTTTGCCCCATTATATGACCTTTTTTGCCACAGCTGTTAAGTGAATCACTGCAGTTAATGAACCTGGCTTCCCCATTGATTTTGTATGTCGGAAAAACGTATACGATGATCACATGACTTCAGGACACTGCAACCATCATAAATATGAGTCAGTTGTCAAGCATCTGAATTTTGATAACCAGGATCCCGAAACAATTGTAAGTACGAAAAACGATCATAAATCACTTTTTCCAGCCCCGTTGTAACTGCAAACAGTCACTTAACAAACCATTGCAAGTTGAGGACTACTTGTATAGTTAATTGGCATTATGCAATTAAAAGAATTGGTTCATTGATAATACAACCCAGGATCCAACACTTACTAGATGGGTTTTTCACAATTTCTCTGCCTTCTCTAGCTCCAGTGTCACTTTATATTCTATTGTGGTGAGTTCTACAGAACTCATACTGGGGTTCAAATAAGATGAAGAATCAAATAAAAGTATCACTCCACCCTTTCTCCCTTAATCTTAGCCATAAAATTCTTTTTCACATAATTCTGGATCCAAACTTACATACCTAACAGTGTAATGTAAAATAAACCTTGTGTAATATGGGGGTGATGGAATTTCAAAGATTAGTAGGCTTTTCAACAAAATTTTCAACAAAATTTGCATTTTTCATTATGACTGTCTCATTTCATCAATCATGTTCTTCTATGTTCCACAACATGTAAACATGTTACAGTATGTACATGCCCTTTCATGTTAACCAACATTTTGCAAAGTGTGGTTTGGAAGTAAGAAAATACAAGGTAAAGAAATGAGGTAAGTAATGAAAAAGAAAGTTAGTACCTCAAATTTATGCCGATACCATCTTAGCTCTCTAGACCTGTTTGCTTCCATAATATTTATATACAGCTTTATACATTGTCATTTATTCTTTAAACTTTTATCTAGAAAGGCAGTTTGGTCTAGTGGTTAAGGCACTGGCTAGAAGCAATGAGAAACAATAGTCCCAATTTAAGCATGAAAGTTGTGTGTCTGACTTTGGGCCAGTCAATCTTTCAGTCCAACCACTTTATAGGATTGTTGTGGGGAAAATAGGATGAGGAAGGAGTATGTATGTATGTATGTATGTATGTATGTATGTATGTAGCCTAATTACTTATAAAGTACTAACCCAGGAGAAAAATCAAATTAATAAACTTCCCTTTAAAAAAAAATCTCATTAATTTCATCCAACACAATTTATTCCGTGACTGATACATTCTTCTTTCATATATTTTGCTCACAAATCATTCCTTCTTCAATATGTTTCTTTCATACTGGTAATTCAATTTAATAGTCAATCCACATTCATTCAGTATCCATTCATTCCTGTTACCTGTAACCATGTAACTTCAGTACCTATTCCCATTCCATTCAACCTTTACATTTCTTCTGTTATAGAGAGTTTTCAGTAAATATTTTCATAACAGATCACACAGTGCCTATCACCTTTCTACTAGTAATTGCTTGTCTTAAAATTTCTCAATTTCCCTATCTTTACAAAACATTCTAGCAAAGGTTACAAATTCATCTACCTGCATTTTTTTCCAAATTTAGGTATAGTTTGCAGTCATTCATTCCAAAACTTACTTGATATTTAATACCTTCATTTTTAGAAACTTCTTGTTGTATCATACTATTTACCTATCATTAGCTAAATTATACAGGATCTTAACAAGGCATTTTCTGCATATAAAATTTCCCGTAATTCATGTCCCCAATTAGTACATCTCTGCATCATTGCAAGCATTCCTTATAAATCCATGAATATGCGACACAACCAAAGAGACATAACACATCCCTTTTATTCTCTGCTTGATGCTGAAGTATTCAATTTATTCTTACATTTTATTTCGTTATTTGTTTATAAATAATTTAGATTTTGTAACTTGCACTCCAGTGATTCTGGTGCACAAAGAAGGAGAATAACACCAGACAACAAAAAAGGAAGATGAACATAGAACAGATACAAAACTCTTCACATAGGGAAGCCACATCCCACCTTTGCCCAAAGTCTGGGAAAAGAGCCAAGACTTTAGGGCTCATTTAAAGGACAGCAGGATTCAAACCTCTGGCAGGATACTAGAATGAAACCAATTCCCAGGCACAGTTGGTTTTGTAAGCAAAGCATATTCATATTTAAACATTTCTTCAGTTATGCCATTTGTATCTATTCTATCCATACTGTGTGCCATCATCTTCCGGAAATGCTCCTCTGGATTCTATTTGGACAATCTTTGCACAAAATAATTAATTTGATATCAAAACTCAAAACAAAGCTAAAGTAATTTTTTAACTTTTTAACTTCCCAGGACCTTCCTTAGCAGACTAAGAAAAAAAAAGAGAATTAAAACAGCACCATAAAGTGAGAACTTGTTGAACTCACATCCAATGATTCTGGGCTCAGAAGTTCTCAACAATGGATTTTTAACACATTACAATTATTAATTGATAGGTTACTTGTAATCTGACTCATGTGTCGCTTATATTTGCAAAACCACCAATCTTCCCTTCCCTTCCTCTCCAACTCACCTCAATTTAAATCCGACATCAGTGTAGTCACTCCATACATCTGATGAAGTGAACTGCAGCTAATACAATGCTTCCAAGAAAATTTGTTAATCAGAAAAGGTGCTAGACTCCTGTTCTTTTGCTACCATCTATACTGGGTTTCCAACAATCTCACAACATTTTTTCCTTTCATTCTCCTTTCTTGAATATTGACATTTACAGCAATTGTTTCAATTTCATTTTGGATGTGTCATTAGTATACAAAACTCTAAAATACAGTATTCCTTGCAAGAGTCTTGTTTCAGTTTCACTCCCAAGAATTCCATGACTTTTATTTTTAATTCTACTCTGGTGTGCAAGATTCTTCACTCTCTTTCAAAACAATTATTATTTGCATTTAACTACATTCTTTATGACAATCTTTTTCTCTACATGTACACTAAACATTTTAATCATTTTGTAGCAATAACCCTTTCACGTATAGTTTATTTTAAATACAAGATTCATGTTTTTTTAAGTTTTATTGGATTTTTAAAAAATATACATCAATATCAATATATGAACTGTGTGGCCTCTGGGTATAATTCATTTTGATACAAACAGCAATAGTAGTAGTAATAATAGTTGTTGAATTAATCAAGTTTATATAATCCTAGTATTGATATACATGATTGTTTTTAGAGTAGTTGTTCAATATTTCAATGCTCCATTTTAATGCCAATGATATTATTAAGCATACATAGTAATACCATCTTTCAACCTCTAATATTTCCATCTAATTATTACTTATATTCTATTATATAAAAATTATATCTGCTAATATTCCCATTTCTTATTTCTACCTCTATTTTAAGGCAGAATTAGATTATTTCTAATCAAGCCACCATTACTAATCCTAGCGTTAATACACTTGTTTATATAAGACGTAGTCCTTCATTATTTGGTTGTTCAAAGTCACAATACGCCATTCAAGTACCAGTCATCTTATTATTTAAACATATCTAATAATATATTTCAACCTCCAATCTTTCCATTTAACTCTTGCCTTATATAAGTGTGTGTTCTTATTTCTACCCCTATTCTAGTTTTTAATCAGGCCATCATTATATTAACAAAAAAGAAAGTGATGATAATTCCTTTCTATCCACCATCTCTTGTCCGTTTTAATACTTCAATTCTTATTCATTTTTTTTGGCTTGCCTCCCATACGCCTCTCTTGGATCTTTGTCTCTATCAGCATCTGTGTCTTCATCATTCAATCTGAATATTTCTCCCATCTCTATCCTCCTAAGGTGCCAGGTCTCCCAGGTGTCCACCCAAACTCCTATCTCCCTTTCTTCCAGATTATCCAATTCCATTTTTAAGAGTCTTAAAGTACTTTTCTCGTTTTTTTCATGAATCATTATTATCTTTATCGCCTTCTCATCCTCTTGCTTTGTTTTCTGTTTTGTCTGTTCTTTCTTTTCCTCCATTTTTTCTACTGTCTCATCTCTTTCCTGGGCTCTTTGATCTTCATTCATTATCAGTTGTAGCATGTTTTCTATTTTCCCATTTATGTCTTCCATTAGGTTCTTTATCTCTCAGTGATTTTTTGTCATAGTACCCCTAATGATTTGAAACATCAACACCATTTCTCTTGAAATAACATTCATTTCCTCCTGATGAAGCATCTTGTCTTATTTTAATAAGTTCTGCTCTTACAAGTCCAAAAGCAGCATTTTCAAATCCAATGTTACTCCTCAGAAAGTTCAATAATCATAGTTCTTTATATCTCAGGATTATTAATCAGTTCCATTTAAGTAGTCCAGGCAGCCTCCACAAATCAAGAGTCACTTTACTTTACTTAAGAGTCTTCCTTATTCTTACAATAGTCTCCAGTAATCATAAAGTGGATAGTTATAGAACAGTATCACCACAGTCCTCCAGATGAATGCTGTTTCTTTTAAGAATTTTCCTAGTCTTGTAGGGGTATAGTATATTTTCCATTCACCAGTAGATGGCGGCCTCAGTTTAGGTTTTAGTGTTGTTTCAGTTCTGATAAATTGATTAATCCAAATTTAGTTCAATTTATGGAAGCAAAATAGGTTATTCAAGTAAATTCCAGTAGATAGTTCCAGCATTTTATAATGCTTTTCCAAAACAACGCCTACCCAGTTTAAGAATCCAATTTTCTATGTTTTAAAGGTCTTTAGCTTTTCTCCCCTTAGTTCCTTTCTTTCGGGACTAGAATTTTTCTCCCTATGGTAATTTGCCGCTTTAAAAAAATAGTATATTTAAATAGTATATATTTTTAAAACATATTTTTTTAAAAAATATTTTTTATTATTTTTTTCTTTATAAACAAGAACAGAAACAAACACAAAACATAAATTTCCATTTTACAACAGTTTCATATCGGTGTTCTTCTAAAATTCAGGTTCTCAACCCCTCGTCTTTACATATATTTATATTTGTGGTTCCCTTGTTCCTTATTTATGTATATATTTCTTTATCTATTATACATATTGTTGTATCTATATATTACTTTACATACATTGTTTAGTGGCATATTAGTAATCCTTCTTATTTACTATTCCTGACTTCTAGCCATTTATTCAATATTATTCCATATTAAATAATATTCCGTTTCATCTTTTTTTTAATCTCTTTCGTCAATTTGTCCATCTCTGCACAATCCGACTTTCCTTATCACCTCTTCCTCTTTTGGTATAATGTTGCTTTTCCAATTCTGTGCGTATGTTATTCTGGCTGCTGTTATAATATGTAAAATTAAATATTGTATTTCTTTGGTATAGTTTCTGGAGAGTATTCCCAATAAAAATAGTTCCAGTTTCCAGTCTATATCACCCAGCTCTAATCACTATTCATCTGACCGCTCCTACACGTTTCTTTGTTGCCTTGGCTATCCTAGCTTTGTGGCAGCCATGATGGCTGCCTCTTCCCAAGGGAGAGGGAAGAAGCCCTGAGTCCAGCAGGAGAATTGCTGCTCTCCCAGAACTACAGGGTGCCCCTCTTTTCTTCACCACCCCTACAGGGTGGCTTTAGCTCCTTTCAGAGCCCTCCAACAGGAAGAACTTGACATGGGAGTGCGGAGACTTGTTTCTCACGTCCAATATTGCTGCGACATCAGCTGGAAGTCCCTGTTCTCTTTCTGTAGTTGTTCTACTCCATTCTAGTTTTTCATTTTTTCCTTGTCTTTCATATCCACTTCCTCCAGAAGTCATTCTTCACCCTACCATCTAATGGTTTCTCCTGCATTTAGAAATACCTCTCCTTTATTGTTAAACTTTCAACATAATCAAAGCAGGCAGCTATTTCAATTATATTCATTCCTTTTTTATTTGTATGTATGAACAGGTTTATGCTTAAGTATTAAGCAAAGAGATATTTAACAAAACAGATACTAAGCCACCATTTTCATTAATTTGTGGATGTCCAAAAAGGCCGATCACTGTTTCTATATTCTGTTGTCATATTCCCATTCATTCAAGTCTACTAACAGAATAATGCAGACCTGTTCTCACCGATACCAACCCTATACTTTTCCTTTCATTCATTTAATTTAAAATTCACAGTATTTATATTTAGACTTCCATTCTAAGTTGAAAGCATCTACAGAAGGGATGTCAAAGTTGTGGGCCACGGGCCGGATACATCACACACTGGCCACGCCCATGCCTAGTTTAGTGAAAGGGAAAAAAAGACACCGCCATGACGTGAGTTTGACACCCCTGAGCTACAGTTTACAGGTAGTCCTTGACTTACAATAGTTCATTTAGTGACTGTTCAAAGCTCCAATCGCACAGAAAAAAAATGACATGACCATTTTCCACACTTACGACCATTGCAGCATCCCTATGGTCAAATGATCAAATTCAAACACTTGGCAATTGATGGTTGCCAGTTCCATTAATATAATCAAATATCAAAAATGTAAACTGGCTAGTATGAATGAATTTACAGAAATGCATAAAAAAATCTGCAAATGGTTCTGTATAACACATAATTCAAACTATTAGTAACACATTAAAAAGCAATGCCTGTTTTATTGATTTATATGATCTTTAGTTTTGTTAAAGAAAAATGAACAAATAATATAATATTGAAGCTAATCAATAATTCTTCTCACCTTTCAGAATATTCCCCGTGTGGCTCGTTAATGTGAGTTGAATGATCATTAAAAGAATTCAGCCTTTGTTCAGGTCCCCTGTTTTGGAAATCTTTCAGCTGAGACTTCTCACTAAAATCACAGTATGACTGATTATCAAGGAATGGTCTACTTCTTCTATCATAATCTTCATCATCAAAATCTTCTAATGACAATTTTCTTTGTAATTCACTGTGATGCTGCTGGTCAAGGAAAGGTACCATTCTTTGTCCACATCCCCTAGTCACATACTCAAAATCTCCCACTGGTGAGTGGACATCATCACGAACAGGACAATTCTGAAACAGTCTTAGTTTTTCCACAGGTCTCTTGTTCAGGAATGACTGATTTTTGTCCTGCAGGAGTGACTGAAAATTATCTCTAGACTGTCGATTGTAAACTGGTCTTCGTCTTCCTTCTCGGCCTCTATTGAGCTGGCTATCTGTCGGTCTATGCTTATAAGAAGGAGTGTCAGCAAAACGTCTATGCCTTTGTTTACGGTTCATATTAATGTCTCTCCCTGATACATTTCCTCGAAAGTCATCATCAAGCTGATGGTCTTCAAAAGGTTGAAATCTGTGCCCTGGTTCTCTTGTACTAAACTTTAAATCTTTAATCTTCATTTCTTCTTGGCAGTCATCATGAAACTGATGGTCAGCAAAATGCCTTCGTCTTATTTGTGGCAGTGGTGGCTGCATGTCATCATGAAACTGGTGATCATGATATGGTTTTCGACGTTTCCCAGGACCCTTATTAATAAAATCAAACTCTCTCAATCGGATCTGTTCCGGTAAGTCATTGGGGCCATCATCATAAACCCTTAGTCTTTTACCAGGCCTGCCAGGAAAAAAAAAATTATTTCTTAAAATCAGGTGATAATATACACTAACAAAAACAAATTCTAGAAGGACAAATGTAAATTTGTCAAAATTGTTTAGAATTTAGTTTGCCTTTAATGAACATCTTCTCTGACCTATATGATACGTGTAAATACACTTATGCATAGGGTCTAATTTTCACTCTCCTGCAAAGTACTTTGAACTTGGTTATGTAAACCTTGCCTTCCTGCTGAGGCTGGGACAGTGAGAAGGCTGGTGAGTGTCAGTAAGGATTCCAGCTAACCAAAAGGAAACTATAAAAAAAATGGAGGAATTAAGTTTCTTACTCCTGACCCATATCCCTGCTTACAGTCTTCTGCACTACTAATAGCAATGTAAAAATACGAAATAAAGCTTGACAATGAGTATGTTAATATTTTTAAGATGTTCAAAAATAATTATTCCCTCAGGGTTGAATAAAGTATGTGGAATTATACAAGTTAGATTTATACAATTCTCCTACCACATGAAGACAAATACATTTTTGGCAGTTACCTAGAATATTCTTCATTTGGAAATCGATCCATACGTTCGTCTATATCATCTGGCGGTGGCACAATATCTCCATCAGCATCCCACATATTCATCCCCAGGTTGCTAAGGAATTTCAAAAGAGAATATAACACATTTTCTGCTGAGGTTATAATGGAAAAAGACAAAAATAGTGTGATTACACTAAATCTAGTGAAAGAAGGGAGAAGTTCTCAGCAGGATGTATAGCATAATTCTATTGATTATAGGATACTTTTCTATAGTCTCTCCCTGAAATGACTGTACTCTTGTAGGTATTTTCTATCAGCTTATCAACTACCTAAATCTTTTAGGATTCACCATTTGTTTCCCACTTTCTCAATTTGGGGTCTATTTATAGTCTATTTAAAAAGGCAATGATTATTCTACTTTTGTGATCAACTTCAGAAAAAAACAAACACTGAAGCTTATTTAAAATGTGTCAGAACAGAAAAGGAACATATTCTACAAGAATAGGACTAGACTCACCTTCTCATTGGCTGAGTTTTAAGATCTGTCAGATATATAGGACCATCCATATGGTGACCACGTGCTTCTCCAAAAGCTAAACAGATGGCAAGAACACGAGTTATGTGAAACAGGGCTCTTGGTGAAAAATGGACAAGCTATTGAGGAAATGTTCAATAATAGCACATAATTCTAGAATCTGACTTCTGGTTTTTTGGAATTTTGATAATACGCTGATATAGAAATTGCTTTTTCAAAACCACAACAGCAAAAGGATGCTTCTCATATAAATGTTCCTGTCAGCTGGTTAGCAATTGTGGAGCAAGACTCGGTGCACCTCCTCCTCCCAAAAAATATTTTTTCTACTTAAGTACAAAGATTGTACTTAATATTGATTGTCACTAAACATAACCAAAGTTCTTATTTAACAGTAAATTGAAACTTCATAGAATTTGCCCCAGTTAAGTGGAAATGGTATCAGATAGAAGAATACTGAACAAAGTTGTCATAGTAACTGCAGTGACTTGCAATTTTGTGTGTGTGTGTGTGTGTGTGTGTGTGTGTACAATTTTGTATGAAATGCCATGGGAATTCTTGATTATTACAAAAAAATGCCTATATGAACTTCAGGTTCTTTGCACTCATAAAAACAAAAGTGCGGCCCTATTTGATCATGATAAGCATTTTTTCAAGTGCATCATTCTGCTTCCCAGTGGCAAGTCAAATTACTGTAGTCCAAAAATAGACTATAAAGTCAACAATATTCTGAAATGTTTTTTTACTTTTGCTTTGAATTGACTAGATTCCTCTTCATAGCCTTATATAGGAACTATTTCTTGTTCTTAATTAAGTAAAAAAAAAAAAAAGCTAGAACCAAGTTACAGCAGCTTTTGGATTTCCTCTTTGAACCCCCAAGAGATAAAGAAAAAGAAATCTTCCTACAAATCTCTGCTTATTAAAATAAACTATGTTTGCTATTGAATCCAAAACTGACCAATGCCTCTCACTGGAGTCCTATGTTACACTTCATTTTCAATCACAAAATTTATCCATTGCTAGGAATATTTCTTGTATGTCAGCCACAGCACCATGATTTTGATATGTCAATCAATACATAATAAATATAGAGACTAATCTATAGGTCTGTGATGGCAAACCTGTGGCACACGTAGCCGTTATCAGTGGGCATGCCAGCTCAGCTCTGCCAGCTGATTTTCGGGCCTTCTGGGCCCACCAGAAGTAGGGGTGGTGGTGGGGAAGGCCTGTTTTTTGCTGTCCCCAACCTCCAGAGCCTCTCTAGGAGTCTGGGCAGGGTGAAAACGGCCTTCCCCACCCCCTCAGAGGCCAGAAACAGTCCCACTGGAAGTTGGCAAACGGGCAGTTTCTGGCTTCCGGGGGGGGGGGGGAAGGGGCTGGCCATTTTTGCCCTCCCCAGGCTCCTAGAAAGGCTCTGGAGCCAGGTGAGAAAGAAAAACGGGCCCACCAGGCCATTGTGTGCCAGGAGCAGGGAGGCCGCGTGCGCATGGTGCATAGAAAATAGGTGTGGGCACGCGTGCGTGACCCCCCCGGCACGTGATGGCAAAAAGGTTAGCCATCACTGGTATAGGTAGTCCTTGACTTACGAACACAATTGAGCACAAAATTTTTCTTGCTAAGTGAGACACTTATTGAATTTTGCCCCATTTTATGACCTTTCTTACCACAGTTGTTAACTGTTTGAACTACTGCATTTAAATTAGTAACACAGTGGTTAAGCGAATCTGGCTTCCCCATTGACTTTGCTCGTCAGAAAGCTTGCAAAAGGTGGTCACATGACCCCAGCAACTGTCATAAATATGAGTTAATTGCCAAATTTTGACCATGCGATCATGGAGATGCTGCAACGGTAAGAAGGAGCACTGGTCTTACCTGATATGATCCTTCTCGTTGAGTGGAGGCAGCATCCAGGAATGGTTTGTCCTTGTCAGTCAGCCAATAGAACGGAGTCTATCAAAGCTGCGAAGACACGCCTTCTGCCAATGGTCCCCAGCTTTTGGCGAAGATGAAGGGACAGACTTGACGTGGTCAGCTCTGATATGATCCAATGTGGACCGAGGGCCAGCCCTACTCTAGGGTGGGGCAGGATGCTGCCTCAACTCAACGAGAAGGATCATATCAAGTAGGACCAACGCTCCTTCTCCATTGTAGTGGAGGCAGCATCCAGGAATTGGATATACCAAAGCCGTCGTGTCCTTATGGGTGGGCTGCAGCCTGGTCAGAGGTCCCCACATCCACATGCACTCTCTGTAGGACCTGCTTACCAAAGGCTGCCTCAGCCGAGGCATAGTTGTCCAGTTTGTAGTGCTTGATAAAAGGGGACAGTGAGGACCAAGTTGTCGCATGGCAAACCTCTTCCAGAGAGGCCTGTGTCGCCCATGCCGCACTTCTGGCTGCACTCCGTGTGGAGTGTGCTGTTATACTCTTGGGTAATGGAATGGCCTGTATCTTGTATGATTTGGCAATACACGCCCTAATCCAGCATCCCATGGTTGATGGAGTAACCCTAGAGCCTAAGGTGGCGGGCTGAAAGGATATAAAAAGCGACTCCGTCTTCCAAAAGGAGGAAGTTCATTTAAAAAAAATCTGGAGTGTCTGGCTCACGTCTAGCGTGTGCCACTTCCTTTCCAGTGAATGCACTGGGGCAGAAATAATGTATGATAAGTTCTTGGGCCCTGTGGAATCATGTATTTACTTTCAGAATGAAAGAAGGGTCCAAACGTAAAACCACCCAGCTAGGGTGGAATACACAGAGATCCGGTCTGATGGAAAGCGCTGCCTACTCCGATATCCACCTGGCCGATGTTATGGCCACCAGGAAGGCCACCTTGCAGGTCAGAAAGCGCAATGTGGCCTCTTTCAGTGGTTCAAATGGGGCCTCGGTCAGCGCCTGCAGTACCTTAGTGAGGTCGCATGTAGGGCAACGGTGAACCATGGAGGCTGTAGGTTGGTGTGAAATGGCTCTTGTTGGTATTTATTGATAACCCGTCATCCTGAAGCACCTGGATGGTGCGTCTGAGATCCTCACACGCCTGGGGAACCGAGGCGAACTGGATCAGGATATCGTGCAGATAGGACTGGATGTGCATGGGGAGAGCGCGGAGGCATGCTGCCAGGGCAGCCAATACTTTCGTGAACGCCCTGAGCGCTGATGATAGGCCAAATGGCAATGCTGCATATTGATAATGCGTCCTGCATAAGAAAACCTAAGGTATTGCCTATGTCCCGGTACAATGAGTCTTCGGAGAAAGGTGGCATATAAATTGAACTAATAATAATGGGGACATGAAGATAAGCTTCGGTGAGGTCACTAGAAGGAAGTCACCCTCCCTAACGCCATCCAAAATGGCCCAAAGAGACTGCATTTTGAACCGCTTGTAGATGATAAGGTGGTTTAATAGTTTTAGGTCTAGAATTGCCCTATAAACTTCCCCCCCCCACATCCTGAGGCTTTCAGAATTACAAAGAGGATGGAATAAAATCCCAACCTCTGCTGGTCCTCTGAATCTCTTGGATATCCAGCAGATGTTGAATAGCAGTTTCCATGAAGACCCGCTTCGCCTTGAGCCCTGAAACAGGGCAGCGAATGAAAAACCTCGGGGGTGTGGAGAGGAACTCTAAGGAGAGGCCCGAGCAGACAGCCTCCAAGATCCATGCATCAGATGTTATGTACTCCCATTTCCTGGCAAAATGTGCCAGGCATCCACCAATGGGAAGGTTGGTGGTGCAGCTACTTCTGGCATTTGAAAGAATGGCTTCCTCCCCTTCGAAAGGGCCATCTAGGTGGAAACTATTTAAAACTACCCGCCGTTTCTTGTTGCTGGTCCTGCCTCTGGTAGAAGGGAAATGGCGAGTGTGGTGGCCCGAACCCACTGTCTGAACCCCTAAAGGACTGGCGTTGGAAGTAGGTTGATGGTTGGGCCTCCGTCCGCTGGAGAGAGATGGGAGGATCTTACGTTTATCACGTGATTCCACCAGAACAGGGTCCAGGGAGGCTCCAAATAATTGCTCCCGAGAGAACGGTGTGGAGGCCAGTCTCCACTTGTGTTTGGTATCTGCCTGCCATTGGCGGAGCCACAGGAGCCGCCTGGAATTCACATTTGAGGCGATGGCCTTTGACGCAAACCTCGTGGCATTCAGCGTCGCATCTGCGGAAAACTCTAGAGCTGCCTGCAACTTGTTCAAGTCCTGATGGTTCCTGGTATCACCCATCGGGACCCGATCCTGCAGCTGTTTTAGCCAGAGGAGAGATTTTATATTAAAGAATGAGACCACTGTGGAGCCCTTCCCCGCCCAGGCAGCCGCCTGGTACGTCTTCCTCAAAGATTGCTCTGCCCTCCTGTCCTCAGGTCAGAGAGCTTCTTCTGGGTCCTCTGGAATCATGGCCTGCGCAGTCAATGCAGCTACTGGGGTGTCCACCCTAGGCACCATAAGCACCTTTCAGAGTTCAGGCCCGATGTTGTACAATCTTTTATCCAGTGAACCAGGGTTAGGCCCTGCCGCAGGTGCGGCCCACTGCCTTTGCACAACATCTAAAAATATGCGTGCAGTTGGTACCACTTCCGCCTCACTAGTGGGCTCAGAAAACGAGGAGCCTGAAGAATCAGAGGGACCTGGAACAGGATCCAAGGATGGTGGGGTGGATGCCATGTTGGTGGAATTTTTTGCCTTGAAAAGCAAGGACTTAAATAAGGCTGGTCTGAACAGTTCTGCAAATGCAGGCTGATCTGACTGCAAGCCCTCATCATCCGTTAAGTCCAGATCCTGGTCTGCCTCATCTTCAGACACTGATGAACGGTGTGAAGGGCTCGGGGGGTAATGATCTTGTGTCTTGCAAAACTCCCGAGGTATGAATCACTGGGAGGAAGGAATGAGGCAAGGGGTAATCAGAGTGAAGAGAGGCAGCTCTTTGATTCTGCTGTACGTCAGTTGCTATTCCCTTCTGAAATTAGGTATTCCCCTCAAAAATTAGGTCTCCCATGCTGGCCGGCACCTGATCTAGCCGCAATCCTGCAGCTGTAGGAGTAAAGGTGGCGCCAATAGCCTATTGCCTGACAGGCTGTTGCCAGGCAGAACTTGAGTGAGAACCCTGTGGAGCTAAGCTCGGCAAAGGCTCTCTATTGCCAGGCAGATCAGCTAAATGTTGCACGCTAGCACCATCTGGCGACCATCGCAAGGCAGGGTAGCTGTCAAAGTCCTCTAGCAGCTCCAACAGCTGCGAATCTGCTGCCTGATCCTGGACCGTTTGAGACAATTTCCTCTGACGGTCAGTCTTCTTTAAGGTTTTTCGATCTCCCGATCAATAGCCTTCTGCTGCCTGACCGCATTAGCTGCAGGATTGTGGCTAGGTCAGGTACTGACCAGCATGGGAGACCTAATTTTGACATATTCCGAAGCCTTAGAGGCTTTTTTGGAGGCTCCACGGTGCCGGAATATCTTTGCCATGGCTCTCTTGCCTGCGGGCCTCTGCCTAAAGGGTCCTGCTGAACACGTTCAGGGACCAAGACAGCTGGATTATTGCTGCCAAGCGCGTTCTCTGTGCTAATGGCAGCAGCTGCAGCATCCTGGGCCATTTCGCGGCTCAGCAGACTCACCCAAATTGGGCCCTGCTGCTCGCAAGTGCAGCAAAAGCCTGGTGCTCCTTCAGGAGTGTGCCCAGGACCCGGGCAGGGACTCAGATGCCTGTGAGCCTGAAGGCAAAGGCTGGGCTGCTGCTGGGCAGCAAAACTCACGATCCGACGATCCAGAAGGCTTCAGGCACTGACTTGGTTGTCAGCGGGAAGCCCGCTGTGCACTGGAGAGAGAAGCGCCGATCGCTGACGTCCAAAGCAGCCCAAGGGTCAGTGGCGTTGAGCAATGCTGCTACTTGCTGCCCTGCCAGGAATGTTCAATGTCTGGCTTGCCACCAGGTGGCCTTCAGTGGGGTCGGGCTAAAGCCCTTCACGTTGGAAAAGCCTGGCTCCACCAGTCACGGCTGGGAGCCAGTTGACAGTTCAATGTGTATTGAAGAAGATGAATAAAAATGTCAATTGTAAGGAGAAGTGATCCAAGAATAGGTTAGCTAAAGAAATCATGTCTGTCATTGACCAAGACTGAGTCAAAAGCTGGGGACCGTTGGCAGAAGGTATGTCCTTGCAGCTTTGACAGACTCAGTCCTATTGGCTGACAGACGAGGACAACCCATTCCTGGATGCTGCCTCCACTACAATGGAGAAGTGCCCAAACCATTATAAATCACTTTCTTCAGTGCCACTGTAACTTTGAATGGTTGCTAAATGAACTGTTGTAAGTCGAGGGCTACCCATAATAAGGGAATTGCTTATTTGCTGGGCATTTTTGCAGGGAAACGATGCCACAAAAGCAACTTTCCACAAATGTTGCAAGCAATATTAGGTCTGGACTACCTAAAGAAATTATATGAAACATTTCTCCTTTTGTTATAGATGTGCGAAGTGCTTTTGTACATATAGGAAGGGAGGGCATTTCCATTTCCTGCTGGAATTCCATGAATCTCATTTTTGTGATATGAACTTGAAAGCGAAAGCAGGGGAGAAAACTCTTCAGTTCACATGTGATACTTTGGGAAGTGATCTTTTGGATCTCAGTTACAACAGCTCATTCAACCAAACAGTATTGCATAACCTGGGATTTTGTTAAAAAAGGCATGCAAATACCTTGGATTGCTGTTTCTGGATCCCAACCTTCAACATCAATAAGATATCTAAAGGAACATAAATACAATTATGGATTACCCAACTTTCATTGGAGTGAAAGTACCGTAATTATTTAATGTTTGCTTTGACACTTACCTGCATATAAGGTAACCTGTTCTATTGATTCCATTAGTACAGTGTACTCCAATTAGTTTCTCTATTGGAAAAGCAAAATGAAAATTAAACAATGCAATGTTAATGCATGATACAAAGAAGGCTTTAAAATAATAGAATATTGCTCTTTAGTGGATTTGTGCAATTACATTTCTCCGAAACTTTGATTCAGAACTGGAAAAAATGGGAATTCAGGAGCAGATTGTATGACCTCTGCTGCACGTGCAAGGTTCCTACTAAGTGTGATCAAGAAGAGCTGCCAGCTGCCTGCAATTATTGTGAGTTCAATTCTCACCAGGCTCAAGGTTGACTCAGCCTTCCATCCTTTCTAAGGTAGGTAAAATGAGGACTCGGTTTGTGGGGGCAATAAGCTGACTTTGAATAAAATATACAATAGTATGAAGGCTATTGCTTAATGCATTGTAAGCCGCCCTGAGTCTCCGGGGAAGGGCGATATATAAATTAAAAAAAAAAAGAGGCAAAACTGATAGAGCTAAACATTTCTTAGATTATGAGAGGGAGTTTTATGGTATTAAAGTTGACACCAGAGGTGAAAGCTTTGTTGATCTGCATGCACTTTGGGTAACTCTTGACTTAATGACTATTCAAAGTTACAATGGATCCCCCAAAAGCTACTTACAACTTGCAATCATGTGATCACATTTTGGGCATTTGGCAACTCGCCCGCATTTATGGCCATTTGACAGTTTTGCCAGAAACTGATTGTTACTCCTGGTTACTGGTAAAAACTGGCCCATAGAGTACAATGGGTTTGCTTAATGTCCACAATGTTAGCTTTAAGTTGCCATGTTTGCTTAAAGACTACTGCCCCCGCCCCCAAAAAGCCATAAAATCAGGTTGGTCATGTGATGACTCACTTTATGATTTACAACTGTAATTATCAGGTCATAATTTGAGGACTACCTGTATATTATGTAGAAAGTAGCACTGTTTCATAACCAAGTGTAGGTGCAAGACATCCCATTCAATCTTCTGTGTAGAATATAGAAGGTTATTTTTGATGTTTCTGATTTAGAATAATATGTTTATGTATATATATATATATATATATATATATATATGTATGTATATATATAGGTAATTATTCCTATATGATAGCTGGAATCTAAAGAAATACACAACTTCCAATTGTTCTTGCTCTCTAGTATGAAATGATAAAGGCTGTTATTTACCATTGTCTGCATTATCCCATAGAAATTTTCTGACCCATTTTTTAAACAGTAGAATAGTAGGATCATCTGGGACTTCAAGGCCTACAGTAAAAAGTTTCTTATACTCCGTATTTCTGGGCAATTCCTAGCAATGAAAAGATGAACAAATACTATAGTTAATATAGTAATTGATTACTAAATATTTTTCATTATTTTAATATTCATTTTTTAAAGAAATTAAGCGCACAATGTCATTAAGTAAACAATCCTATTTTTTATGTTGCAGCGATCTCAACTTGTGTTAGTACAAGTTGACCTCCAAATACAGAACTGAATGTAAGTTCTATGATGGAGATCTTTACGATTTTTTCTTCCTCGCTACATTGCAATATTTAATAGGAATTCTGGTAGTGACAGCATCTGTGAATAAAGCCAAACTGTTATATTGTGGCATGTAACAGAATGGTTAGTTTATTGGTTTTAAAAGTGTTATCACAGGGTTGTCAAACTCGCAGCCATGCCCACGCCCGGTTTAGCGAAGGTAATTTGGAAATAAAATAACTGGTCTAAAGAACTGCAACAGAGTGGGTGCTGCACATACTTCTTGGGAAAGACCATTCCATAAAGTCGACGATGCTATAAAGCAGTGATCCCTAACCTTTCTGGCTCTGTGGATTGGTAGCGTAGACAGCATGATGGCGAGGGGGGAGGGGATAGTTTCACATATGTGCCTGCCACTTGTGCAAATGGACCTTCATGAGCTCACCTGTCGCTTATGTGGCCCAGTTCCCAATGGGCCGCAGACCGGACTCAGGCCATGGACTCCTGCTATAAAGAATACTTATTCTCTCTCTCATGCCTATTAAATTTCTCTTGATGAACGGACCAGGTGGGTAGGTTCATTTCCGGCGAGACGTTGCCTTTATTATAGAACAGTTCTTCTCATGCTGAAGACTGAAAATTCCATAACAACTCGACCTATTTCTAAATTAGTATTGAAAAAAAATGTTTTTATTATCCCTAGCAAATACTAATTTACAATTACCTTAGTATTATAGTATCTTGTTGTATATGTTAAATCAATGATTAAACCAAGCTCCTTATTGAAAGCTTTCACAGCAGCAATGAGATCTTTTGGTGTAAACTTTTGAGGTAGTGGAAGTCGATTATTGATTGCCTAGGTTGGAGAAAAAAAGAAAGTAAGAACAGTATAGAAAGATATTCTTATGCATATAGAAAAATCTGACTCATTACATTTTTTAAAAAATAGTCAAACTAAAAACAAAACACAAGCATTCAGAACAATTAGGTAGTTTCTAAGCAAATAAATAATTGATTTAAAAATAAATAGTACAGCTAGTAATCCTTTAAGGACTGAAGTTGTTTTTCTTTTTACTCTAGTTGTATGTGTTGTTTTACTACAGGGTGACACTGTATAGGGATAACAATAATAAATATTTCATATTTTATATCCCCAGACTGAACAAATGCATAGTCTCTGAAAGCATTCGTCCAATGCCATGATTCTGAATTAACCATGAATAAGTGAAGTTTCTTGTTGTTCTACAGAGAAATAGAGAAGCAGTGTCTAGGTGGAGTAGGTAATTGTGAAGTAAACATCTTTGCATTTCCAGCTTTATGAAGTATATTTCACAATTTAGAACTCTGTATACTGTTAGATAATATTACTATTTATCAGATACAGAGTTGCTTCAGCAGTAAGATGGGTAGCATATAAATTTAATAAATAAATATATGGCAAACAGAAATACTCTTTCTTCCATTTTTGAGGAACATCATCCATAGTAGAACTAGGAACAGTGCTACCCAAATTGGAAAAAAATGTCTGTTCCACCTATGTTCTCAAATTAATTCATATGTGAACCTTATCAGCTTTAATGAGCAAACAAAGGCTAAGTCACATGAATAAAAATATAAGAGGAGTAAATGTACAGCATGTGTATAAGCATATGTATATGTATAAACAAAGTAAATGAAATAAAAAAGAAAAATCAATATATGTTTGTAAAAATAAAATGGGGAAGAATGTAGTAACATCTAAATAAAAGTAGCTTGATGTTTAAGTGCTTGAAGTGAAGTTGATGAATATGTGTATGAAAGTACAGGTTTAATTATTAATGGAAGGGTTTATAATGTATGTGAAAACTATGAGTTGATGTCACCAAGGTTGCTGTGGGTGTATTTGAAAGTAGAAATCCATTGTTTGATGACAGCGTGGTGACAGTTGCATGTTTTGTTTCAGTGAAAGACAATAATGGAAGAACGAGGGGGTGAATTAGGGGAAATTTTGTGCAATATTCTGAATGAATTTGATCACAGAAAAATGTGCAATTATGGAATTGAAGGTTAGCTGTTAAATGCCAGTGTGTATTAAGCTTATTAGATTTGAAAAAACAACTGAGGGAAGATATGATTCCCTCATTAAAGTGAATAGTACAGGTAGCACTGATGACAGATGGACTGTGTATATAATTGGTGATATTTAACAGTACATGAAAAGCTCTTATCCTCTGAAGGGAAGGTTAATAGTCAGCTGTACAGAAGTTCAAACTTAACTACAAGGGTGCTACACTTTTGGCCAGTGTACTCTGAAACACTTCTTTAGAACTGAATCTGTATTATTGCAGAGATTTTACTTATAGTCAAATATTGATTATATAAAATGAATCTCACTTTATTTTCTTTTGTAGTTAATATAACTTCATAGAAATAGTTTTATACATACCCTTTTTAAGGGTACTTTAAAAGCAATGAATCGAGTTCCTGGTATAGGTTGTCCAACTGGTGATACATTCCTCCAGCTAATAAAAAGAAAAGACACCTTTAAATATACAAATTTTGAAAAAATTATGACTGCAATGCTTTATAGAAAACAGTATTGCCCTGATAAAACAATTCACATTACTGAAATAATAACTAATGAATAGAGAATTTGGGGGTCTGAATTTATAGAAGCTATACTGAACTGGAAGCTGGGTTCATTCACCTCTTAAGTCTTCAATCAAAATTAGTTTCTGCTAAAATTGGTAATTAAAAAAAAATCATCTACATGCTTTTCTTAGTCTAATGTCACCAAGCTTTCGGGGCCTTATATACACATTTTTTTCATTCTCTTTGCAAGTATGCAAAAATGTTTAATTAATCCTCCTCCTCCTCCTCCATGATCTGTCACTGCTATTATGCTGGGCAAAAGGAATTTCATTCCAAATAACAATTCTCAACTTCTGTAACATATTAAGGTCTTTGTTAAGTTTTCAGGAAATGACAGTAATGCAAAAGAAACAAACATTCCCACCCCAACTAGACATGGTTTTTTCTCTCAAGCAAAAGTACCATGTTTTCCTGAAAATAAGACCCAGTCTTATTTTCTTTTAGGCCTCCCTTAGGACCACCACAGCCAGGCCTCCCACGCCCCGACATGTGTCATTGTGTGTGCCATGCAACCTCCTGCCGCAAATGGCAGCATACCATAGGTATACTTGACATTCTTTTCTGCCTTCTCAGAAGGGAAGCAATAGTGAGAGAAAGTGCAGTCAAGTGGAAATGGTTGGAGTGAACTTAGCAGAGTTTAGCCAAAAGGAAAAGGATAGCTGATGGTAGCTTTTTAAAACATTATTTCTTCAAAAAAAAAAAAAAAAAAAAAAAAATCCTGCAGAAGTCTGCAAAACAGTTTGGAGACAGCTTTACAGCTCAGAGACAGCTTGCATGAGCTGTGCAACAAGCCACAGGGCGTCTGGCCATGAGTGGTTGCAGAAGTCAGGCAGCAGTGCAACAGGTGTCAGAATATGGGAAGCCTGGCTGCTGTGGTCTTAAGGTAAGCAGGTGCAGGGCCCATGGGCCAGCTCCACCCTCCCCACCCCAGCTTGATTTTTACACGTTGTTCTCCCCCAGCTCCGGATTCCTGAGGATATTGACACACACCAACGGTCCTTATCAAATTTATTAAGTAGCAAGAATAAACCAAAGTCCGGCAAAGGTTGGCAACCAGACCAGAAAACAAGATACGTTAAGACTTTTCCAAAAATGCTCTGATGATAATTACAAGTTGTTTCCAGCAAGAAACTTACTAACGGCGTGTGACTTAAATAGGCTAAGGGAGTGGCCAATTATCCTCAAGCCTTACTCTCGAGACCTCCTCCTCCTGAGTAGCCACTCCTGCCTTTTGGCAGCCCTGTGTGCTCGAGCATTGAGAAGAGGCTCCTCCACTTCGCTCCCTCCACTTGAAGGAGCCTCTGGAGGTTCTCTGTCTCTGGCACCATATCCTCTTCAGCCTCCTCGCTGTCCGATGCGAGCGCCGGCTGCTGGTGATACCACACCAGCCTCGTCGGGATCAGCCATGATCCGCGCAGGCCGCTGGCGGGCCACAACACATGCGCCTCATCCCATCTCGTACAACCAGATGGTGGATGGGGCTTAACTAGGGCTTATTTTTGGGATATGGCTTATATTAGGTGCATGCATGAAAATTGGGCTAGGGCTTTTTTTCGGGGTAGATCGTATTTTCGGGGAAACATGTTAGTTTGACTATGCTATAAACTAGTGAGGTTCGTATATCAGCCTTTGGAAGCATAGGTGTATGGTATCTTTGTAAATAGAAAATACACTGGATCTAATGAAATCTTAATACATGATCCAACCACTTGTGAACTCCACCGACTTCAGCCCCATTTAGAGTACTATAAGATTTGTCCTTAATGTTTTGCTTCATATACAACAGAGATACACAATCTGAGACCCAGAGCCTACAAGCAGCCCTCCCAAATCTTGGCAGAATGTTTTTTAAAAAACTATTTCCTCAAAAAAAAAAAATCCTCCAGAAGTCTGCAAAACAATTTGGAGACAGCTTTACAGCTCAGAGACAGCTTGCATGGGCTGTGCAACAAGCCACAGGGCGTCTGGCCATGAGTGGTCGCAGAAGTCAGGCAGCAGTGCAGAATTCTGTCAACTTCAATTTTTTAATGGGACAAATCAGGAAAAAGATTAAATATATGGGGAACAATTACATTCAATTTAAATGAAATTCAAGACAAGGGATTTGTGCCTGGTCTCATCAACTTCTACATCTGGCCCATATATTTCATGAAGAGTGTTCCTCAGAAAAGTGTGGTCTCAGCCTACACATACATAAAATTAATTTACAACAATAACACAACCCAGAATGTGGTATTTACATTTACAGATTTTACATTTCTTATGTTCTTTATGGAGACAAAGGCAATGAAATGAAACATGTTCCAAGAGTGGAATCTAGTATAGCATTTGTTAGCACTGAATTCAACAGAATGTAGGTGCTCCTGATTTTAAATAAATGCTAAGAAACGTATATGCGTATTCTACATTTCTTTCTTTAAATAAAACTTGAGGAAATACAGAATGATTTGCAGAAATTATTTAATATATTATGCTTAACTTCTTTTCTCAAAAAGATTATCTTCTGATAAGTCTAAACTATATTACATAAAACATTTATAAAATTTAAAAGTGCAAGAAGTTATATTAGTCTGAGGACTTCCAGTGGTGACATTACACTGTAGTGGGCAAATGAGCAGGGCTCCACTTGTTTTCACCTAATTTTCTGTGTTTTTGAGGCCCCCATGGGCGAATCAGATCCTGGAGAGATCGATGGAGTAGAGGGGTATTCTCAGCGTTTTAAGTGGGGAGTGGTGCGAGCTCCCATTAAACAAAAGGAACCCTCCGATCTGGCACAGAAGAAATCGGTAAGAAGAGAGTATAAAAGACAGAAAGGAAAAACTCTCAAGGATTGAAATAATAGTGATATATTAGCAGTGAACCGAGTCTCCTGGAAGGTGAATAAACAGGCAAATTGGCAGTGGGAGCGGAGGCTATGAGCTGTCAAAATATTAAAAGGAAAGTAACGCGTGAAAGCTGTGAGTGAATGTGTGGATTGGGGCTTTAATTAAACTGAATGAATATATATATATTCTATCTGCTGGTTGATGCTCATGTAAAAGTGTTGATATAATTTTGATTGAATTATAAGCGCTAAAGTACATTAAAGATAGTATAGTATTTTAAGGAATAGAGGTATATAGTAGTTATATATAAATATATTTTAGAAAGATATTCTTAAATGTAATTATCCTTAACTGACTTTAGAGTAAGAAGGAATTTATTTAATAATTATCATTCTGTTAATGAATTAACTAAGAAACTATATTAAGTTAAATAAATTTGAATGTAAAGTAGCCATCATAGAGAAATCTTAGAGATATTGTGGTGTCCAGTGAAATATTGAATGCTACTAATATTGAGGAGGTAGAACTAGATAGATTGCCAGATAGATTGTTATATAGTGTTACTGGAGGTATTATAATATCTATGAGTGAAGGAAATTGGATTTAGTTAATTTAGTTAATTAGAATCTTAATTTAGTTAAGATTCTAAAAAGAAGGGAAGAGGAAAATAGGGGTGGATATATGGTACTGTGGATTTTTTTTTAAAAAAATATCAAGATGATGAATATGGTCACCACAGTTACAAAAATAGGGGGGGGGGAAAACAACCGCGACTATAGCCTCCCCCTCAGGACCACGTTCAGTGGAAAGCATGTTGGGAGGCGAAAAATCTGGCTGCACTGTGAACTTGCAGAGTATGCAATCAACTTTGATGGCAATACAAAAGACAACGATGAAAATGCAGAAGGTAATGACAAAAAATCATGAAGATATCAAAAACGATATGGGAGAGTTGAAAGGAGAGATACACAGGCTAGATAATAAAATTGGCACAATGCAGGAAACAATAACAAAAAACGAACAGAAGAACAGAACAGTAAAAGCTACAATGGAACAGGTAGGAAAAAAAACTAGATATAACAGAAAGCAGAATGATGGCAGGGAATAGAGATCTAGAAGAGGCTGTAATAAACTTAGAGATGAAAAAAAATCAATATATATAACAGAAAGTAAGGAGGAAGAACTTCCAAAATTAATGGCAGAACTCCTAGCGAAACTCCTCCCAAAAAATAAACAATAAATGGAAAACGAGATAGACGAAGTCTATAGGATACACACGAATTATGCACGTAGACACAAACTCCCTAGAGAGGTACAAATACGGTTGGTGAGAAAGAAAACTAGAGACAAAGTCTACAGTAAAACAAGAGAAGAACCCCTGGTTTATAAAGGAAAAGACATTATAACATTAAAACAGATACTGAGAAGAATAAGGGATGACGAAACTACCAACTTCTCTCTACCCAATTGCTAAAATATAAAATCATGTTTAGATGGCTCATCCCCAAGGGGATGCTAATATCTTGGCAGGAAAAGAAATTCCACATAGATTCCTTAGAGAAAGCACAAGAATTTTACGATCATTATATAAGTAGGGAGGACGAACTGGATAGCAGAGAGAAAGTAGAAGACAAAAGTCAAGAGGAATAGACATAAGAGGAAAAAATTATGGAACAAGACAGGAGAGAACAGAGGGAAATAGAATGACAGGAGAGAGGAGCCAGGACACAAGCAATTTATTTACAAAACAGAATTTTTTTTTTTTTACAACAAATTACTTAGGAAAATAATGGAACTTAATTATGAAAATATTTGCATAATAGGCAATTTTAATGCGGTGGTAGATAACAAAAGTGATTATAGGAGCACAAAGAAAAATAATCAGACAAGACGAAAATTACCGAATACGTTTTTTGATATGGTGCAAGAACTTAATTTAAGAGATGCCTGGAGACAGCTAAATCCAGGGAAAAAACAATATACTTTTTTCTCCCACCCCCATAGTTCATGGTCATGATTCGATACGGCATGGATGAATCCAGAAC